TAGATCTTGTTCTCGGCCATGTTGCCTTGGGCCTGCGCAGTTTTTAGTGTGCCAGGCATTCCAAGCAGGAGGCCGGTGTTCCAGAGATGCTGACACAGGTGGTGTGGGCGGGGCTGGGGGTGGAGTCTTTCCATAGAAGCAGGTGACAGGAATGATGGTGGGCCAATCAGAACTGAGGCAAACGGGCTGTGATGGTTACGTCCCTAGGTCATCAGTGTCCCTGACAACGACTTCTTCTTTGACTTCGTCCGACACCTGACAGACTGGATAAAGAAAGCACGGCCCATCAAGGATGGTAAGGGGCTGGGCTCTGGCTTGCTAGAGGCACAGAGACAGGGACACGCTGGCTCCGGGCCAGGCTGGCAGAGTCAGGGAACCTTCTCTGTGGAGCCTCCGTGTGACCAGCTGTCCTGGGCCACAGGAATCGTGCCCTCGCTCACCTACCAGGTGTTCTTCATGAAGAAGCTGTGGACCACCACAGTGCCAGGCAAGGACCCCATGGCCGACTCCATCTTCCACTATTACCAGGTGAGCTGCACCTCTGCTGCCTCTGCTTCTCGGGCCACCCACTTGGTGGCTTTGCGGTGAGGCCAGAGAGTGTGACCTTTGACCAATACGGCTGGTAGCCTCCTATGGAGGCTGCTGAGTCTCCAGACAGTTGTAGGAACTCAGACCCTTTGTCTTGTCACCTCCCGGTCCTGGAGGCTTGACTGATTCTTCTGAGGTCCTTGTCCTTGCTAGCTCAGGCTGCTCCTTGCTCCGAGTCCTCTGGAGGCAGGTGTTTGCTGGTGTGGCTGAGTCCATCCAACCCTCTGGTTCTATAGGCACTGTCAGACAGGAAACCTGGGGAAGCTCACAGGCAGACCTGCCGTGTCTGCTTTTGATTCCCTCTGTCCTTCCATTTAACTCCTTGCAATTGGCATCTTCCTACGTTGGAGGAGCAAACAGACGTAGAGTTCAAGTGATTTAGGTTGCACAGCTGGGGGGACTGGGCTCCCAGGCTTCATGACTGTTGTTCAGTGCTCTACACTGGACTGCAGCCTGCTTAGCCTTGAGTGAGGAACAAACCGGCATTCCTGGGAGGCTGCTGTGGTGCCTGGGAGCAGGGCCTGCCCTCATTCAAGCCTGGGGTACCTAGTTCAGGAGAGGAGGGAGGGATGTGGAATTGCCTTGGGCTCATCCACCAGTCTGCCTCACTGGCTGTAGAAGGGCAGTGGACAATGCTCCAGCCTGGCTCTTCCAGGTGCTAGGACCGTACCACACCTTTCCCGTCCTGTGCATCTCCCTCGAGGAAGCAGGACGAGCTGAGGAAGTGCTGGGCCCAATTTTAGGGGGACTACGGGGAGCCCCTCTTCCAGTTTGCCTGTGCTACCATCTGCTCTGTTTCTGGCAGGAGTTGCCCAAGTATCTCCGAGGCTACCACAAGTGCACTCGGGAGGAGGTGCTGCAGCTGGGTGCCCTCATCTACAGGGTCAAGTTTGAGGAGGACAAGTCCTACTTCCCTAGCATCCCCAAGTTGCTAAGGGAGCTGGTGCCCCAGGACCTCATCCGGCAGGTCTCACCAGATGACTGGAAGCGGGTAAACACGGAGGCACAGTGGGAATGGGGGTGTCCCAGGAGTTGGGGCAGCAGACACTGGCCAGCAGCTAAGGGGAATGCCTCTCCTGTGTGACGAGGGCACCCTTTAGTCCATCTCTATCTGCTTCACTCTCTAATCCCCACCCAAAGGATTTAGTGACCCTATGACATTAGTTTGTCCCATCCTGGTTGTCTAGGAGGCCTGAATTTACTTTTCTGCATGGGTTGGGGTGGTCCGGAAGGCAGTTGGCTGGAGTAAGTGGGGACCGTGGTAGTTGGCGGCACTGTCTGTCCCCTGCCTGGGTCTGTCGGTGAGGACAGGCAGGAGTAGAGCCGAGAGTGGTGAGTCACTCGCCCTGATCCATGTCCCCACAGTCCATCGTCGCCTACTTCAACAAGCACGCAGGGAAGTCCAAAGAGGAGGCCAAGCTGGCTTTCCTGAAGCTCATCTTCAAGTGGCCCACCTTCGGCTCAGCCTTCTTCGAGGTGAAGGTAAGTCTTTGGAAGATCTTCAGAGGGCAGGCAGGGTGGCAAAGGGGGGGGGGGCGAGACGGCAGAGACTGGCATGAAGGTGGCGGTGGTGGCCTTGAACTTAGGCTGGCGACAAAGGAGGAGCTGCCTTAACTTTGACGCACTAAGAGGGACCAGAAGCTTGGCCTGTCGAGGGAGATGGTCACACATGTAGGCCAGAGTGATGGAGGGTGGCCTTGTACTGTAATAGTGGGTCCTCGTGAGGTAGCAGATCAGGAGGCTGTGTCCTGGTGAGGAGGAGGCTGTGCCCTCGTGAGGAAGAGGCTGTAGTCTAGGGTGGCTTCCTGGAGCAGGTGATGTTGGGGCTTTCCAGGAAATCCTCTGTTGAGAGCCCTGTGTAGACAGAGCCCACAAGCCTGAGCGCTCAGGTCTGGGCAGGAAGTGAAGAAGGTCAAGTGTGACTGAGGCAGTGAGAAGCAGGGTGGCAAACAGGTGAGGGTCAGGGTCTCCTCAGGGGATAATAAAGCCCTGGAGGTTTGGGACCGGAACAAGAGCACCCTATGTCGGCTTTGGCCACTGGGAAACCTTTGGATTGAGAGAAGACGTAGCAAACCCCCTAGGGAAGCAAGAGGAAAAGGATGGAACCTCTGCTGGGGACCCACGAGGCTGCAGGCAAAGGGGGAAACCAGGAGGCCACGGCAGGGCTTCTGTACCTCTGGCTCAACATAGGCAGCAGACCAGGTTGATTTTGTTCTGGCTAGGCTGGCTTCACTCCTGTCTCCGAACCCCGGTCTTGCTCTGAACCCCCATCTGATGGTGTCTCTCTTTTCTCTGCCAGCAAACTACGGAACCAAACTTCCCTGAGATTCTCTTAATTGCCATCAACAAGTACGGGGTCAGCCTCATCGATCCCAGAACCAAGGTGAGCAGGTTGGATAGGACCAACCGAAGTCCCAGACAGCCACCGTCCCCACAGCAGGGCCCCTGTGTGTCCATCTTGAAAGGCTGCCTGTGCCTGCTCCGTTGGCTTACTCATTTGTGCCACCAGAACTGTAACCTTCAACTTTACCGTCAGACCCTTGCTGCCCAATCCCACAGTCTGTTTAATGCTCAGCTTCCCAGTGTCACTGCATGCCAGACTGCCGCCTCTTTCCAAAACGCTCTGCCCATCTGGTCAGGTTGGTAACTGGTGGCACCCTACGCTCGTGCGCCAGGAAGGCCAGTCCACTGCGTCCCCAGACGCTGTACTCCTGAATATTGGTGAAATCACTAATGACCATCACCTTCCCCTTGCTGCAGGGGCTGCTCTGTCTTCATCATTCTTTCACAGACGTTCCTGGGCTTCCGCTCTACACACCCCAAGTACACTGTGTCCTTCCCAGGGTCTTCTCTGTTTTCTCCCCTGCCCCAGTTTCTCCCTAAATTCACCCAGGCTCTCTCTCTCAGACCAACAGCTGCCAATGCTCCCAGGCCACTTAAGTTTCTATATTTGGCTCTAAGCACCCCACAGCCTCCAGGGATTCCTTGGGTGTCTAAGGCAAGGTGTGGAGGGGAAGCTCCCTGGCAGCCCCACACAGAGCTGGCTCCTCCCTCTCGTTCCTTTCCTCCTATGAGGGCTCGGGGCTTCTGTGAGGAGGGATGTCCGGGGTCACATTGTGCAGCTATGTGCCTCCCTCTCTCCCAGGACATTCTGACTACTCACCCCTTCACCAAGATCTCCAACTGGAGCAGCGGCAACACCTACTTCCACATCACCATTGGGAACCTGGTCCGTGGGAGCAAACTGCTCTGTGAGACGTCGCTGGTGAGAGCACTTCCTGGTGCCTCTCAGGGTTGGGTCTGTTTAAGCTTCATCTGGGGGAAAGTGTTCACAGTCCGGGGTAGAGGTACAAATCCCTCCTTCAACTGTGCTGTCTTAGCGTTGGGAGATTGAGCTGGTGGCTGTGGGCCTTCAGCCCAGGTACAAACAGAAGAGCCATTAGTGATGAGACCTCCTAGAAGAGCCCAGGCTTCCAAGGTGCAGCTTGACTGGTAGTGTCCGCAGTCACCCTGGAGGCCTCCAGAACTGTAGGGACCACAGGGCTGGGGCGCCCTCGAGCATGTAGACGGGAACAGGACTTGCTTTGTTTCTGCCCCGTATCCCCTGCAGAGAGTCCTGAGAGTCCCGTGTGTGAGGGGCTGGCGCGTTCCTCTGTGGGCCTTGCTTACTTTCTCACCCCTGGTTCCAGGGCTACAAAATGGATGATCTTCTGACTTCCTACATCAGCCAGATGCTCACAGCCATGAGCAAACAGAGGAGCTCCAGGAGCGGCAGGTGAACAGCAGAGGAGGTGCTGGCCCGGCTCTGGCCCGTCTGCCAGGAGGTCAGAACCTCCCTGCACCCACCCTCCTCTGGTGCCTGGGCTCACTTCACCCTGCACTGCTGTGCCTCCTGGTGTACGACCCTCTGTTCCCTGCACACCTCTCTCCTGATCCAGACCCGCTCCATCAAGCGGTCTGTGACTTTGTGTACTGATGGGAGCTGGGAACAACCTAACCGTGTGTGCACTGAACTGACGCTTTGAAACCCTGGGACCTGGGCTCGGGGTACTTGGCAATGGCCCCTGCCGTGAGCGCTACCACTGGGGCCTGCCTGGAAGACTCCTTCAGTGTTACCTGCTCTGAGAAGCCCTCCTAGACTACCTCCTAGGTCTGGACAAAGGCTCCTGGCTCTACCGGGGTCACTTCTCTGTGTGATAGCTGCATGCTGGGTCCCTGTGAAAATCTCCCCGACCACCTAAGGGCATAAAGCATGTGTCTTAGCCTCTGGTCTTGTGTTGGTCTTTGCTGTGGGAGTAAATGTGGGGTCAGGCTACAAACCTGTAGGGGAGTGATCTCAAGAGCTACTTCTTCCACCTGCGTGGTCAAGCTGCTGTGTGTGTGCGCACGTGTACGTGTGTGTTTGTGTGTAGAGGGCAATGTGCATGTGTGTGCATGCGTGTACGCGTGTGTGTAGAGGAGAGAATCTGGGGAAGGGATCTCTTCCTGGCTCTTAACCAGGGTCAATGGAGGTAGAATGGCTCTCACATTGTGCCAGAAGAATCTCCTTGTTTTATCGAGACACATCCAAGACTACTACTACTTCCTCCGGTGAAATGCTTACGCCAGGGAGACAGTGAAGTCTGGAGGGGACTGTGTACATCTGGGCCGGGAAGGAAGAGGCCTCAGACAGGGCAACGGCTGGAGTCAGCAGCTACAGAGGTGACGGTGAGAACCCCTTTGTCTCCCTGAGACATCACATTAAGCGCGCCAGGCCAGACATGTCTGTGTACCCAAACACCACCAGGACAACCGCTCCTCCAACATCTAAACTGCTTCACCGTCCTTCAGGGTGAGAATGAAAGGGTGAAGCTCACTATTGCTACCCCTGGTGAAGGTCACATCATGGAACTCAGCACACTATTGCTACCCCCAGGCTCCCAGGCAGAAGGGACTTCAGATGATTGTTCTGAGCTCTTTTCCTGATAAGGCCAAGGGTGTTTATTGAGTGAGCATGGGGCCACTCAGGAGTTAGGAAGCACCCACTGTGCACACATCAGAAAATGAGGATGGGAGGAGGGCTTTGCCCCTGGCTCATGTCCACGCCACCTCTCCATCCCTGACTGAGGAAAATGTCACTTCTGCACCCGATTAGCAGTCTTCATTAGCCTGACCACAGAGGGGGGCACCAACACACTGGCTTCATGAGAGAGAGGTGCCTTTATTACAAGCTGACGTGAGCAGTCAGGCACTCCTCAGCAGATAACGCAACAGAAATAAAAGACGAGTCAGTCCTGCGAACCCAGAGAGCAGCTGCCCGGGTCCGTGGCCACACATGACTGTCTGCCCTGGCCTGTCTCCTGAGGTGCACTCCCTACAGAGTCTGGGCCAGAGTGTGGCTCCTGAGAACCTCAGTGCCCCTGTGTGAGCCTTCTTGACCACACCCTACCATCCCCACACTCAGACACAGACAGGAAGAGAAGAAGGGGGCACGGTGGAGAAAGACATGACAGAGGAGGAAACACCATATAAACAGACTCCTGAGAGAGGCGTTAGCTAGACAGAGGCCAGCGTGCAGTTCAGTGCAGTCTGCGTAGTGATCCCCTAGATGGGAGCCTGGGGGTTTTAAAGCCCTCTACGGACACTGGTTGTTTGATATTTTCCTCAGTACTTTTGGGGGGAGCATTAGTGATTTCACATCCCTTTTAGGGGACTTTTTGGTTCATGGTTCTTTTGGGGAGCCCTGATAGAGCAGTGTCCTCTTGGGGGGGGGGCCTTGAAGTACGGTATTCCCTTAGGGGGTTACTAGTGGTGTGACCCTTACGTTTTCTTGGCGAGTCCTAAGGGGTCAGTGCTCTCGTTGGAGGAAGAGGTCTGGTCTTTGCAGACTGCTGTGAAGTAGACTGTTTGGATTTTGATCCACGAAGGTTGGAAGGTGGCCAGAGTTTTCCTATGACTTTCCTGGTGCTTGCCCTGTGGGTGAGAGAAAAGGCAGAGATTTCTCAACTGTCATGCTCCAGGGTTTGTTTGCTATATGTGAGCGCAGTCACTACTTGTGTATTAGAGCTGCTCCCAGCCTACGCGGACTCATTCTAAACTTCAGTGCCTGCACACTCCTGTTCATCCAGACACGGAAAAGTGATTGTGTGAGCCAAGGAAGTGCTCAGAAGGCAGGGACTGACATTGGCTTCCTGTGGCCAGCTGTGATGTCACACCCTGAACTCCCAGCACTTAAGAGGCTAACATAGGAGGATTACAAGTTTGAGGCCAGCCTGGGCTACAGAGTAAAGCCCTGTTTCAGCCTAGGAACACACTCCCCCACCAGAATGGGAGTATCTTGGAGGAACTTTGACTTGCTTGCCATCATGTTCCCAGTACCCAGAAAAATGTAGAATATATTTAGCTTCTAGTATATGACAACTTTGTTGATGGAAAAACTAGTGGTGGGGACCTAAAATTCAGATCTACTACCTTTATGCAGGAAAAAAGCATTAAAAGTGGGGTAAATATAAAAATACTTGTTAAAGTTATTTAATAGTTAACAACAAAGTGAGGAATTGTGGAACCTAAATAAAGAAGAATGTAATAACTCAAGGAGGGAAGCTTATTTCCGCATCTGCAAGAAACTCATTTTAGATATTAAAAACACAAATAAAGACAAATGTGTCTAAAAGATAGGTCATACTGACACTAATGAGAAGTCAGGGTTTCTGTTAATATCATACCAAGTACATTTCAGAATACTACTATTATCCAAAATAATGAAGGATGTTTTATTATTGACTGAATTAGTGTTCAAAGTACCTGTTCAATTACAGAATGCATTACTTTCATATAGGTAGAAAAAAATCTATCAAGATAAGCTATATTAAAAATAGTCATAATAAACAGAAAGGGACTAAAATCATTCCGTATATTCTCTGGAAATATAAAATCAAATTAGAAAACAATAGCAACATGTCTGGAGAAGTTGGAGCGGAGGGTATAGCTCAGGACTAAAATGTGGCTTAGCAGGAAAAAACCCTGAGCTCCAGCCCCAGCCTCCACTAAGAACTCCCCCAAATACAGCTGGAAAACCCTTTAATGTTTGGAACAAGCAACCTCAGTTTTTGACACATCAAAATAGTATATATGGGGTATAGAGTAGCATTTCAATACATGTATGTAGTGTGTAATGACCGGGTCATAGGAACTACCTATCCAGTACCTCATATATACTATTCTTTGACAATTTCTTTCACATATATAAAGTGTCTTAATCATATGCAACCCAAATTCCCCCTAAGACTCTCCCAGACTCTCCCCAAAACTTCTTCCTCTCAACTTAACGTCCTCTTCTTTTTTTAAACAGCCCATTGAGTCCAGCTAGTTTCGCCTGCATGTGCCAGGGTGTGGGGCATCCCCTAGAGCACGGCATCCTCCCTGAAGTCACAGCTCCTTCCCTATTAGCCATAAGCTGTCAACAGCTCCTCAGCTGTGGGTGGGGCCCCCTAAGTCCCTCCCCTATGTATACTGGAATGTCTACTGACTGGCTTGATCTTGGGTAGGTCTTGTACAAGGTAACCATGGCTACTGTGAGTTCTTGACTACAGTGGTCCAGCAGACAGCACTTCACAGTGCTCCTCCCTCCCCATCCTCTTCGCTCATGTTTCTGAGTCTTGAGGGATGGAGATAAATGTCCTCTTTAGGGACGATCACCCAACGGTCACCACTGTCAGCACTTCGGCCAGTTCTGCTTCTTTGTGTCAACTGTTGCCCTCCGGATACAGGAACTTCTCTGCCCCAGGCTGAGGGTGGCACTGGTCTAGTGATAAAAATGTGGGTGGTGCCATGCCATGGGCTGAGGGCTCAGACTGCATCCAAGAGAAAGCCAGCTGAACACTGGAATTCACTATCTGCTTCCTGATTGGGAAGGCAACGGGACCAGCTGCCGTAAATTCCACCATACCTTCCCTGCCCACGTGGACCGTGTCACCTGAGCCATCAGAGGTTTTTGCTTGGTCACAGCAGCTAGAGCATCGCACGAGAGACTTACATTTCCAATTCAGTCTCATCACTCACTCTTGGTTTAGAGTTTCTATGTCTTTGTGGTTCAGTTTTGGTGGCTGCCTGTGTCCAGAAATCCAGCCGTTTCTTCTAGGCTCTCCAATTTGTAGCCTGAAATTGCCCATTATTGCCCCAGTGGTCCCTTTCACTCTGTGATGCTAAGATAGCGCCTCAATTTTCTTCTTTTTTTTAATTGTTTTTTTGTTGAGCTCTACATTTTTCTCCGCTCCCTTCCCTGCCTCTCCCCCCTCCCTTTTAACTCTCTCCCAAGGTCCCCATGCTCCCAATTTACTAAGGAGATACTGTCTTTTTCTACTACCATGTAGATTAGATCTATGTCTCTCTCAGGGTCCTCATTGTTGTCTAGGTTCTCTGGGATTGTGATTTGTGGGCTTTTTCTTTTTTACTTTATGTTTTTAAACTACTTATGAGTGAGTACATGTGATAAATGTTTCTCTGGGTCTGGGTTATTTCACTCAAAATGTTTTCTATCCATTTATCTGCAAAAATTCTTTTTTTTTTTTCTGTTGTGAGGTACTCCATTGTATAAATGTACCACGTTGTCCTTATCCATTCTTTGGTCAAGGGGCATTTAGGTTCTTTCCAGGTTCTGGCTATGACAAACAATGCTGCTGCTATGAACATAGTTGAGCACATGTCCTTGTGGCATCATTGAGCATCTTTTGGATATATACCCAAAACTGGTATTGCTGGGTCTTGAGGAAGGTTTTTCTCCTACTTTTCTGAGAAATCACCACATTGACATCCAGAGGGGCTGTACCAGCTTACATTCCCACCAGCAATGCAGAAGTGTTCCCTTTTCCCCACAACCCCCCCAGCATAAGTGGTCATCAGTGTTTTTGATCTTGGTCATTCTTAGATGTCTCAACGTTCATTGCTGAAATTGGGTCTTTTATCTTTTTAAGAAGCTAATTTGAGCTTATTGATTATTTGTGTATTGTAGTCTCAGTTCTTCTCTGATCAAGTTTCAACTAGTAGGTTTTTATTTTTTTTTTATGTGGCACTTCTTCCTATTAAATTCTCTTAGTACTGCTTTTGCTACACTTGTGGGTTTTGTTTTTATTTTTGCTTCTTAACTTCCTTAGTGATCAGGGAAATGCAAATCAAGACAACTTTAAGATACCATCTTACACCTGTCAGAATGGCTAAAATCAAAAATACCACCGATAGCCTTTGCAGGAGAGGTTGTGGAGTAAGGGGTACACTCATCCATTGCTGGTGGGAATGCAAACTTGTGCAACCACTTTGGAAAGCAGTGTGGTGGTTTCTCAGGAAATTCGGGATCAACCTACCCCTGGACCCAGCAATATCACTCTTGGGAATATATCCAAGAGAGGCCTTATCATACAACAAAAGTATATGCTCTACTATGTTCATAGCAGCATTGTTTATAATAGCCAGAACCTGGAAACAACCTAGATGCCCTTCAATGGAAGAATGGATGAAGAAAGTATGGAATATATACATATTAGAGTACTACTCAGCAGTAAAAAACAAGGACTTCTTGAAGTTTGCAGGCAAATGGATGGAAATAGAAAACACTATCCTGAGTGAGGTAAGCCAGACCCAAAAAGAGGAACATGGGATGTACTCACTCATATTTGGTTTCTAGCCATAAACAAAGGACATTGAGCCTATAATTAGTGATCCTAGAGAAGATAAATAAGAGAACCCAAAGAAAAACATATAGGCATCCTCCTGAATATTAACCTTCATCAGGCGATGAAAGGAGACAGAGACCCACATTGGAGCACCGGACTGAAATCTCAAGGTCCAAATCAGGAGCAGAAGGAGAGAGAACACGAGCAAGGAACTCAGGACCGCGAGGGGTGCACCCACACACTGAGACAATGGGGATGTTCTATTGGGAACTCACCAAGACCAGCTGGCCTGGGTCTGAAAAAGCCTGGGATAAAACGGGACTTGCTGAACATAGCGGACAATGAGGACGGCTGAGAAGTCAAGAACAATGACACTGGGTTTTGATTCTACTGCACGTACTGGCTTTGTGGGAGCCTAGGCAGTTTGGATGCTCACCTTACTAGACCTGGATGGAGGTGGGTGGTCCTTGGACTTCCCACAGGTCAGGGAACCCTGATTGCTCTTAGGGCTGACAAGGGAGGGGTACTTGATTGGGGGAGGGGGAGGGAAATGGGAGGCGGTGGCGGGGAGGAGGCAGAAATCTTTAATAAATAAATTAAAAAAAAATGTCCTGTGTGTATGTATATGTGTATGTATGTATATAAATTATATAAATGTGCTGTGTGTGGATGTATATGTATACGTATATGTATATGCATATGTGTAAACTCCTGCGTGTGGATGTGAAGGTATATTCAGTAGCTGTTGGGTATGATGACCTGCAACCCCTAGGTCTGTCTGGTCTATTACAGAGGTGTTGTATTGCCATCTGTCCTCTTTTACAACTAAGGTCTGCTTTTTGTAATTCATTGCTCCAGCACTGGGTACATAGACATTTATGATTACACCCCCTCTTCTTGAATTAATCCATTTGTTGTTAAACAGTGATTTTCTTTTCAGTTAGTTAGTTTGTTTAAGTAGTCTGTGTTATATACTTGCATAATATATACATATATATAATATATACATATATACATAATCACTCTCCTTTTGGTTCCATTTTCACGGTAAGTCTTTTTCCATCCCTTCTCCTTCAGCCTATGTATCTCTAGTAAAGAGAATTCTCATAGGCAGTGTATCATTTGGTATGGTTTAAAAAAAAATCTATTTTTCCAGGGGCCGGAGAGACTGCTCTGTGGCTAAGAGTACCAGCTGGTCTTCCAGAGCGCCTTGTTTGAGCGCCAGCACCCGAATGGTGTGTTTCACACCAGGATTCACAACCATCGGTAACTCCAGTTCCAGGGATCTCATGTCCTCTCTGGCTCCCACAGGCAACAGGCATGCATGTGGTACACCTACCTACATGCAAGCAAAGCATCCGTACTCAAAAAATAAAAATTAAAAAAAAAAACTATTTAGCCAGTCTGTCTATTTTAATTGGGGATATTAATCCATTTTCATTCAAGGTCATCACTGATAAAGAAACATTTCTGTTGCTCTGTTCATTTTTCTGTTTTTGTTTTTTGCATATTTGTTGTTCCTTTCGTGTCTGTCTTTGTGCTCCAGTAGGATCCTCTCTGTGCATTTACTCCCATGAGTTCTGTACTCGCCTGTGATGGTTGCTATTCTTTCGCTCCTGCTGTAAGGCTAGTCTAGTAAGGATGACCGACCTGTGGGTTTTAGTCGTCTTGGAAAGCAGCTTCCTTGCCTGTAATCTACATTTGCAAAGACATCGGCTATCTCTGCCTGGGATTGTAACCCTAGCTAGATACAGCTCCTTTAGGCAGGAATATTGGTATCTAAGGGCTACACAAGTTGACTTAAAGGTTCTTCCATGCTAACCTGCTCAGACAACAGGAGGCTAAGTTGAGAACTGGATGTTCAACTGCTTCTCAAAAACTGCAAGGGGCTGGAGTGTTAGACACGCCATTCAGGAAGGTCTTCTTGGTTACCTTCCGGGGTCTCTGGTGAACAGGGCCACTTGGGTGCGTTCAGGACGGCAGGGGGTACCATGTGACTATCTGCTGAGGGTTTCTATGGGGGCCCAAACGCCTGTGGGTGGAGCTGTGCTGCAGCTGCGTGGATGTTGCATGGGTCTGCAGGGCCAAGGTCTTAGAGTGGTCCTGTGCAGCAACAACTTGAGTGGGAGGAAAGCATGGTGCAGTCTGGGCTCTTTGTCTGGGGAAATACGGCAGTGTGAACCCCTGGTAGCTCCTCAGCGGGCACAAGACCTGATGAGGCCACAGGGTTCTGCAGAACTGAGTACTTTCAGTGTCTGGAGCATGAATGAGAGCTTGTATGGGCCACCTGATTACCTTAGCCAAGTCAATGGCCTCAGTTCAGCCCTAGGACACACATGACGGAAAACAAGAACCGCTCATGTCTTTTACATGTTTTGGGGCATGCGTGCTCACAGCCAACACATATAATAAATAAGGTAAAATGCAGTGAATTTTTAGACTTAAGAAAGGGAAATTAGAAAAGACATCGCGATGAATGTAAATGAACCCGCAATGGTCTCCGCTCTTCCCAGTGCTGCAAAAGAACATTGCTAGCTAGAAGTTCATACACAACAGAGGCTTACCTTTGTTAGCTTTACGGGCTACGCTGGCAGGGGTGAGCGGCACATCTGGCTTTTGGGGAGAGACCTGTGTTCCAAAGCTGGTACCTTCTGTTACGTTCTCCAGATGAAATAAATCTGTATTTGCAGGGTGGGGGGAACAGAAAGACAAAAAAAAAAAAAGTATGAGGGCATTTGGCTTCCTTCCTAAGAGCATCAGAGCCTCTTCCCCTAGTGCTGGCTTCTGAAGGCGACCACGCGCGTGTAGGTTCCGACACACCAGTTTTAAAGGGTTGTCACACTCAGACTCTAGCAACCACAGGATGGGACTGTGGGGACCATGGAAACAGTATTTTAAAAGACTGTAGGAAGTCTCCGGTCAACAACTTGAGCCACCACCTTACAAAGTTAGAAAAGGAAAAGCTGGATCAAACTGAAAGCAGGAGCAGGGAATTGTGAGGATAAGAGAAAAACCAAAACCCAACCCAAAGCCAAAGCCAAGCCTTTGACAGGACCCAAACCCAGACTAAACTCTAACTAGGCTGATAAGAATAAACAGAACCAAAAAGGTAACATACCACATTGGGAATAAGCCGGTAGAAATCAGAATAGATAGGATAGATATTAAAAGAGAAGAAGTGATAGGGAACCTTGTTAGCCAATCACCTTTAAGAGGTGGGGCCCAGGGTAAAACCTGTGCACCTCCGGGTGCTCTCTCTCCCTGCGCCTTTTCCCACGGGACATTGCTGTGCTTGGATTTCTCATTTCCTGTTTTGTGAGTTTTCCCCTTATAATAAAATATAATTGTTTTATCCTTAGATAGCCTGGTTATTTCAACAAATAAGAACTGAGCCCAGTGGCAAATTACTGTAACCCCAGCACTCAGGAAGCAAAGGCAGGAGGATAGTGAGTTTGAGCCCATCTTGGGCTACATAGTGAGGCCTTGTGTCAAAAATTAAACTAAATTTAAAAATAACTCAGAATATGTAAATATAAAAAAAGGAGACTAAAACATACTATGCTAATAAATCTGAGTTTTTGGAGTAGATTTTTAAAATGTCCTTGAAAGAGATAATCCCACTACTTCCTACGAAGAAAAAGCCAGGTATGGACGACTTCACGGGAGGGAGGAGAGGGCATTCTAAGCAGCTGCTATGCTATGAAAACAAAGAAACTACAGGAGGAACACAAAAGTACACTGCTCATGAAAACAGACACAAAACCTTAGAGAAATTCTATCAGACGAAAATCCACAGACACCAGGTGCAGTCTGTTCCAAAGACACAGGCCATTTCAACATTGGAAAATCAATGCAAGCCACTAAAAGACAAAGCATTTAAAAAGGAAACCCTCACGATCGCGGCAGTAGCTTCAGAAGAAGCAGTGAAGAATACAAAGTACGCTCTTAAATGTTTTTTCGAGACATCAGCCACAGGAAAGCAGTTTTTGCAGCCCGGTAAGGGGTATTTACGGAAGAACTTCAGGGAATATCGTGCAAATGTTTTTCTATTGGCATGGACATCCCGTCTCGCCACTCACTCGTTACCTGCAGGTCTAGCCAATGTGATAAGACAAGAACAAGAAATCAAAGGTGCCCAGAGAGGAAGAAGGAAAATTTTTACAGAAGGCATGACCACATGTGTTGGAAACTAGACCCTAAAATAAACTCACTGGAACTCGTAAGTTAACGTCATAAAATTTCAGGATATGAGGCCAATATATGCGAATCAAATGCACTTCAAGATATTCAACAATAAATTGGAGATTACAATTTTAAAATACCATCTTTAGTAGCATAAAATGTAGTCTTTTAGAGCTAAATTCTATAGTTATGTAAGGGGTACATCACAAAGTTTTGCTGAAAAAGATTTCAGAACGTCTAAGCACGGGAAGAGATGCGTGTTCAGCTTCATCATCTTTGCACTGGACAGACGCACTTTCAGCTCGACAACTGCACTGGCTAGACACCCAGACTGTGGCCGCATTCCTACCTGGTCTTGCTCGGAAGTGAGCACCCAGCTCAATCCATCTTTTGCTTAGCAGATACCTTTTGTTGCCCTGTGTGAATCTTGTCTGCGTTCCCAAGGACACAAAGCCTATGCCTGTTTGGTTCAGGAAGCCTGGCAAACTGTGATTACCTGAGGAGTGGAGAATTTGCACTTGGCATTGCATTTTTTAGAAGCTTCGTTCAGGTTGTTTTGAGCAGATGGGAATCAAATGGCTTAATTGTAAATATGGAAAATAATAGAGATTCCCTGGGCGAAGAGAAAGCGTTTCAGTCGGTTGAGACCGGAGCTCTGCAGCCAAAAGAAGGCCAAGTCCATCCTTAAAGTCTCTGAGCCTTCACATGAACCCGCACCCGCGCCGCTACATCCACAAGACTAGACACCTGCATTAGAAACACCGTGCCTGTGCTGAACACGCACAACACAGCACACCATCCAGCCTGCCTGCACCCTGCCCTTCGGTGCTACAAGTAATGCAGAGAGGACATAAGGAGCACGAGGGGTGGGAGGGGCTACTGGAGACACGGAGACGTTGTCCACGAGACTGGCGTGCCGAGGGAGTTTAGCACTTTTTTAGTTACTTACAGATACCACAACTGTGCTATATTCATGCACTGTGAGACTAAACACAATCAAGCTTCCCTGTTTCTCTAAGATGATGTAGATCTTGACACAACTACAGATAAAACCCAAGAATGCCTTTAAAAATATATTTATTAGCCGGGCGGAGGTAGCGTATGCCTTTAATCCCAGCACTTGGGAGGTAGAGGCAGGTGAATCTCTGTGAGTTCGAGGCCAGCCTGGTCTACAGGCTCCAAAGCTACAGAGAAACCCTGTCTCAAAAACAAAACAATACACACACATATATATGTATATACATTTATATACACACACATATATATTATTGTGTGTATGTGTGTGCATGTACAATAATAATAATAGAAGCTGACAGGCCAACAAGAAGGCAAAGTGTGTAAAGCTGCTCGCTGTCAAGTCTGACAACTTAAATTCAATCCCAAGACTCACATGGTGGAAAGAAAGAATCGATTCCTGTAAGTTCTCTGACCTTTTCAGACAGGCTTATGTCTGGCAATGATAAACGTTGTATATAAACATTCATGGCCATTTTGTTTATAGCCCCAAATTGGAAACAACTCAAGTGTCTGTTAATGTGTGGCCAGATAACGGCAGATAGTTTCTACACAATGCACACGACTGGTCCTGCATTTACACAAACAAACAAAGGGTACCCCAGTGATTCAACCATCTGCTGCCAGGCTCCTCTTTCTTAAAGGCTCCACTGTCTCCTAACCCCAACAGAATGAGCATCACTATGGTAACTACATCCAAACCACAGCATGGTACAGGAAAGGAGAAGCCACTGGCACGGTCAACAGGGACAACAGGGAACATCTGAAATGCTCGGGCCGATGGAAGGAGCTGGATGAGAACGACCGTGGGATATGGGTTCTATTTATGGATTTCTGGAGAACGTAAACTGTGAGATGGAAGCGGGTCAGTGCTGGGCGCGACGCTTGCTCAGAAGGCAGGAGGTCATCACAGAGACATATGAGGAGACTGCTCTTGGTTTTGGGGGGACAGGGTCTCAGTGTAGCTCCGGCTGGTGCTGAACTGGCCTTGCAGCTGAAGTGGCCATAAGTGCCAGTCCCCACAGCCCTTCTTCCCATGGCTAGGATTACAGAGATGGTCACCTCGTCTGGTTTGTTCTTTGAGAGTCTTGCTATACTGGCCGGTGTGGCCTCAAACTTGCAGCAATTCTCTCCCCTCGGCTCTCCAATGCTGGACGGACAGTTGTCAGACACAGGAAGACATGAGGGCGACAGACTAATTTTCCTGGCTGTGGTAGAGGTTTTGTAAGTGCATACCTAGCTCAAAACTCATTGCTACATCTCAAATAGCTACAGTTTATTGTGTGGCTATTATTCTTCAGGAAAATGGGGGTTTTGTTTTATTTTGTTTTTAAATACCTTTCTTACAATTTGTTTAAAATATTTATTGAACCTGGATATAGTGGTATTGAAAGGTTTCTGTATCCCAATATTAAGTCTCTCCACAGATGCAATAAATCAGATCAGGCTGAATTAATGATACCAGGTCTAATCAGAGCAAAGCAACTCCCAGGTGAGGGGAGAAGAAATCATGCCGCAAGTCTATGGGCCGGGTCTTAAATACCCTGTAAGCATGATCTTGTGCCTCTCAGGAAGAGGAGCCACCACTTGTAGTCTTTCTCAGGGGCAGGGTAGGGAGAGAGAGCGAGAGGTGGGGCCAGAGCAGAGCTTCCACCTAAATAGGAATACCTAAGGCAGGAGAGCGGTGGAGAGCGGTGAGTTTGACAACTTGGGCTGCATAGCAAGTTCAAGGCCAACCTGGGGAATATATTAAGACCATTTCAAAAATCCTTTTTAGTTTCATCTATGTGCAAGGCATTGCTGTAGGTGCTGAAAACACACAAGGAAACAGCAGTAAAAACCTCTTCTGTTATGGAGCTTACATCCCCATAGGAGGGGGAGGAGACTAGCAAAGCGGGTTGACGAGATTGCTCTGCAGGTAAGGAACCAAGCCTGCTGCATTCAGTCAGATCCCAGACCCCATATGTCTTAGCTGGGTTTCTATTGTGGTTATAAAACACCACAGCAGGTGCCAGAAGACCCATCTGAGTGGTGAGTGTGTTCTTGACCCGCGGCAAGAGCCAGGAAACGAAACAGGGACATTCCCAGACCCCCTTGGCTCCCCAATCATTCTGCAGGGGCTGCTCCCCCCTGCTCGGACCTCTCTCTCCCTAGCCCATCCCAGCTTGCACCCAGGAACCTCCTCCCTTCCACAGGGCAGCGGATCAGCCAGCTCAGCCTGTTTGGGCGCTGGGACGGGTCCTGGGGGCAAAGGGCAGAGGGAGTTCCTTTGCTTTGGTAGCCTGCCTGCAGAAAGGTGGGCCTTTTGTCAGCAAGGTCCCTGGCCGCAAGGTCCCTGGCCAGCAAGGGAACCTGATCCTGTTCCAGAAGACCCATTGGATAGCATTTGTAGGAGGAGATAGGCAGGCACCAAGGCAAGAATTCCTCCATCAATCTGAAAAACAACGTGAACACCAGAATCCAATGACCTTACAACAAAAGG